AGACATGTGTCGTCTTTGAATGGAAGACGCTGCTTGCGGCCTAAGACTCAAAGCTGTCAGTCTCGAGGCAGGCGACGATTCAACTCAAGCCACGATTTGTACCCACCTCTGTGTCCTCGTGAGCCATGAGGGTCTGATTCTAGTTGCCATAATGATCAATTGTGGCGAATACCGACATGCGTGCAACCACGGTACCGGAAGTCTGTCCCAGTAATGTAGACCAACCTCCGGGGTTGGCGACTTCAGGCGAACAATCACTCCCGCCTCGATAAGAATCGTCAACGTGATTGGTGTGAGTGGCGTCGGGATATCGATCCGATCTCCACTTCGCAGGCGTTGTCGGAGGCTTGGGAATGTCGGATGCGCCACCCGACACAGGCATTGCGCAACTACTCGGTCATCCCGCGTTGGCAGAGCGGGAGACTTTCCAGTCTCTCCCCAAACGTAGCCTGGGTTCTTTCTTTGGAAAGTCTTACGCAACAAGAATCTCGATTCTACGGCAGTGGTATCTCAACGCACCGGCGTATTGATCCACGGGCCCGGGAATCAGCTCACGGTGAAATCCGCTGATAAAGCGAAGACTCGTCATTCGTTCTCTCCTCTCAATTTTGGACAGTTTCATTTGTCTTCTTTCCACACTCGGCCCTTTTGAACTTTTCATATTGACAATCGGGTCTGCCGGAGCAACATTCAAGGTAAATTGGGATGAGCAACGACCGTTTCCTGTAGCCAATGCTACATACGACTTGGCGTTCACAGTTCAAAGTGCCTACTTTTGTTACAAGCTTGCTCCCCGGAACCAAGTGGTCTCGTGGTCGCTCAACCCCAGGATTTCTCGAGACGCCCCATGTCTTTGCCCTTCAGACGGCCGTCGATCTTCCCCGCGATGATGCGTACCTATTGTCAAATGCGACACTCTCCTGACCAACTCCGAAGCTTAGACGCTAGGGAGGCTGAGATTCTGTGGGGTAAAACAGGCATTCGACCCCCAAAGATAACGGCCGGCGCAGAAATGCCATATATCGGCTATCTGCGGCGAGTCATTCTACCCCAGACCATGGCTGATAAGGCGCCCCCATAACGCTAGTGCGTTGCGCAAAGGCCTTTGCCCGAATTTGCCATTCCAATAAAGACGACAGGGCGCGCACACATAAACACTGTCGGGATCCTGCTCCGACATATCAATCCCAACTCGTCGCGATATCTGCTTCCCTCACCGAAGAACCGACATGAAGTCTTCGATTCGGCCCCGCGAGAACAGTCCGCCATGCCGCAACTAAGCCAAGGACAATACAAAGTGACCAAAAAATGCCAGAAAGCGTGCGTGCGGGGGTTTCCATCCATTCCGAAAACCGGAGAATGAAGGCCTCGGAACTAACTTTGTGTGCAAAGATGCGAAAGATGTCGGGTGATGAAGGTCAAGTGCTCCGGCTCTCAGCCTTGCGCCCGCTGCGACAGGAAAAAGCACCGGTGCATCTTTGCCGCTGAGGACAAGAGGGTGTCGGTGCCGGAGAGGTGAGTTGTCGGAACCACAACAGAGCTGCTTTCGGCGCGGCGTCAGGCTGACTCCACTATGCAGCTACCTACGTGAACTTCAGAACCGGAATAGTGAGCAAGGTTCGGACCGTTCGACGAGGGCTTTGAGTCGGGGACATGATGTTGAGGATGTGCAGAGCCGTTATGCAGAGGCATATGCAACGCCGCATCACACTTCCCTGGGTCAAAGCGAGGACGCGGCGGGGCAGTTGGAAACTCCAAGCAATGGTAACAGCTACCGGCAACTGACTTGCATCTTGACAAAACGCACGTGGCTTACAACTATCTACAGATAGTCCAACCCTAGGTGGCCCTGCTCCATCTGAGCCTGATACTGAGGTTGAAGATGCCCCTTCCAACCACGGAGATCAGGGTGATTTTGGACCAGGGTTTCGACAGAACCCTCTTGTCGACAACGACTACACGTTTGCAAAAGTAGGCGACCGATATTGTGAGTTGAGACAGGTTCGTGTCGTTGACACAGACATGCTGATCTGTTACGGTAGGGTACATGGGCCCGACCTCTTCGTGGTCCTTTTGCCGCAGAGTCTTGGCCCTGCTCGGGAAACGCATACCGGAAGCCGCCCCGGATCCGTGGCATCTGCCACACGAGGGCGCTTTTAGGATGCAATGGGCACCTTTGGGTGCTACTGAGACTCCCGACGTGTCCAACCTCCCGCCACTGGACTATGCCATGTTCCTGTTCAACACGGCAAAGTTCTACCTGGGCGCCGTGTTCTATCTCATTGATGAGCCGTCTTTCTTGAAGAACATGCGTGAGTTGTACGAGGACCCGGTAGCGAAGGCCAGCTCGTCGAGATTATGGTACGCCCAGTACCTGCTCATTCTAGCATTCGGCAAGGCCTTTGTCGTCAACAGCAGTCCCCATGCGGCCCCTCCCGGAGTTCAGTACGCGGCGCGGGCCATGGCGTTGCTCCCCGACTTGTCGGGGCTGAGCCCCGATTCCATCCTCGCTATCCAAGCCCTTGCGTTGGCAGCTTTGTACTTCCAGTGTTTGGACATGAGGCTGGCGGCATATCAACATGTAAAGAGGGCCCTGGTTTTCGTGCAGATCCTCGGGCGGATTGGCTAACACAATCACAGATCGGACAGGCATTGCGCATCGGCATCGTTGAGGGTATCTACAGACACATGCCCGAAGAGGTAGTGGGCGCCGAGTATTCAAGGCGCTGCAACATTGTGTTCTGGGTTGTGTACACCCTGGACCGAGAATTCTCTGCCCTCATGGGTGCGCCCACATCGATCCGGGACGAGGACATTACTGTCAAGCTGCCTTCCAAGGTAGACAACTCCCTCGATGCGCTGAATATGACCCTGCATGTCCGGCTCTCGCGTTTGATGGCGCGCATTCTTACCAGTGGGTTCTCCCTGAAGGCAAGGTATCCTTCTGCTTTTGGCGTTGCTAATATTTTGCCTTAGCTGTGTACGGTGTCGGCAAGGAGTTTGATGGCTCGCTTGTCCCAAACACCCAGTCTATCCTCAGAGATCTTGCACGTTTATCCCGAGACCTGACGGCACTACTTGACACTCACTTCCAAGGGTCTGTTAGCAGGGCATCAAGGATGGCATTGCGGCTTATCCTGTCATACCACCATGTAAGTCCATGTCTACTCAACGGCCATCGCAACAGCTCGCTAACATCGGTAGTGCGTGGTGCTAACAACACGACCACTGGTCATGTGCGCTCTCCACATGCACATTGAACACTCCGACATGCGTCATTCCCAGACGGTCTCCCTAACACCTCCCGTCGCCTCCCTCCTCCAATCATGCGTCGACTCCGCACAAACAGTGCTCCGAACCCTCCGCGTCCTCGGCGACGAAGACCTCCTCGAAGCCTTCCTCCCTTTCCAGCTCGAAGACGCCTTCTCCTCGGCCTTCCTACTCTACCTCATCCGTGTCATCAGCCCATCCCTCCTACACGACGACTCATGGTGCGAGAATGTTACATGCGTTTTGGACAGGATGATAGCCAAGGGGAGCCTAGTCGCGCCGCTGCGGAAACTGGAGCTCAGTCAGCTCGAGCACATCATGTTAGCCCTGACGCCGGCTGGTGAGGAGCCCCCGACGCCGCCGCCGAGCACGGCGCATCCGCAGCACCACCATGGGCACGAGCACGGGTCATTTTTGGATCAGATGGAGGAGGCGGGGTGGGATATATTCGATACGAGCGGCATGGGCGGCCTCTCGCCACAGGCGTTATTGGATCTGGCGGAGCGCTTGGACGTTGAGGATTTAATACAGTCTGTCGATACCGACGAGGGTCACAGAAGGTAATGAGTTATGGTAATCAAAAGTTGAATGATGACGAATATCATATATGACAAGTACCGCTACGTGTTTTTTGCTTGAAGGTGGGGTTGGATGTGACTTTGACGAAGTGAGCCCGACATGGAGCCAGCTACAAGGACTCTCGCACGGCAGACTTGAACTATGGCGTGCGTCGATATCAGCGTCTCCCTCCCAAGAAGCTTGTCTCAGCCGGGATACGGACGATTGGCTTACCGGAATCACTTGCGCCTTCTCGAGATCCCACACATCACTCTTGGCATAGATGTCGTTCCTAATGAGCTCCCAAGCCTCCTCGGCATCCTTGACGGTGTAGATGAGTGCGCTGCCCGTGAAGCTGGGCGTCTTTCCCTCGGTGGGGTGTTCCGTGAACATGGCGCCTGTTGTTCACCATTCTCGTCAGCCTGAGAGCTGCTTGCGAGGGGGTTGGGAGCACGTACCACCAACGGCCATCTTTCCATTACCCACATGAGCCTGGGCATCGGCCAGATGCATGCTTCAGCAGGTCAGCCACCACCGCCCTCTCAGATGAAACCTTTCATCATCCCAACAATCGCAGGGAGCTACTCACGGTCTGACCTCCAATCGCCGGGCAAGCGCATCTGGCTTGTCCGGGAGGATGCACAGGAACTCCTTTGCACTGGTAGCCATCGTGCGATGCCTGAAGCTTAACGGCGAGGTCTTGCTGAGGACGCGGGGTAGGTTTCTGGCTGCGGGGATGAAGCTGCTCCTGAACGCGCGTGTGGGGATGGACATTATGGGTTTGAGCGAGAGGATTGCGGAGGTCTTGACTGCTTCTCGGAGCGTTGATTACGGCGTCATGTGACTGGGTTGTGTGAGTGCGAAGGTGGTGGTCTGGTCGCGCAGGGAGCGGCAAGGCGCGGCACGACATCGGCGGCGGTAGAGGCGAAGCACGGGGCGGGCTTGATCGAGTAGCTCCGATGCCGGAACATGTTGCCGAAAGTAGCCGGCCGGGCAACTGTGCCCGGAGGTCGACAATCCGGGACTTCAGCTCAACACTCCTCAAGGCTCCTGTTGCCCCAAAATCGTATGCACTACATGCAAGACGAGGGGATGGGTCCGTCTACAAGGCAAAAGTCATCGCATTGCGCATCCTAGATACCGAAGGGCGCTGGCCAAAAAGGCAAAAAACGAGGTCGTGCCCGGGTTCGAACCGGGGTTGCCGGAAGGCATTTGACAGCGATCAAAATCCGGCTCGGGGGGAGTCAGTACGTGAGGGATGCGGGCGTGCTTCGCAGGAAACTTACAGTGATTACCACTACACTACACAACCGTTTGGGCGCTCGAGTGGAGGCACGCGATGCCCCAGCGCTGCACGAATCCACATTAAGACCAATAGTTGCGCGGGTTGGCCTCGGCTCTTCTCAGATGTGTTCGCGTTGGCGGGGATACGAAGACAGCCTTTGAATCTACAAGATCTCCAATTGTTCTATGCTTCCTGAGACCCATAGGCGTAAACATGTCAAGTAACAAATATGTGACAGTTGTTGTCAAGGTTAAGTCTATACATTACGTGCTCGGAGTCTAGACGATGCCGTTCTGCAACGTCGCGTCCACGGTGAACCGGTACTCAGTCCGCCCATGCAATGCAATACTTTCATTCCCATACACAAACCGCCCCTCCGTATCGATAGGAGCCCGGATTGTCACCCCAATCTCACCGTCCTTCGCCCTCCACTCGACGCTCAGTTCCCCGCCAAACGCAGTAACAACTCTTGCACTCGCCCTCGTCAGCCCCAATCCCACACCAGCCGCCGGCGCAACAACCCAATTCTTGTACCCGAACCCTTGGGTCCCCTCGGCAGCGCGTAAGCCCGCTGCCCACTCCGTTAGAACGTATGTGGCGGCGCCGCCCCAGGGATGACTCAAGCTCGTGAACAGGTCCAAGCCAGGCTGCAGCGTCGCGGCGTTGACGTACTCCCAGCTCGTGCCGACGGCGCTCTTGTTCTGCGCCTCACTGGCGCCTGGTAGCATCGCGCCCCAGAGGTTCATCATGAGCTCCTGGGCCATCTGCGTGGCGTTGCCCATGAAGAGCGCAGAAAGGAGAAAGCCATTAGTGTTGGGGGAAATGTTGACGCTGGTGTCATTGGAAGAGACGGCCGAGTTATCTTTGTAGCCTGGGCCGAGCTTTAAGCTGGACAGCGCCGAGAGGGAGCGGGCGGTGCGGTTTGCGTCTGCCACGCCGGAGGTGATGCAGAACGCGGTTGCGGCTACAGAGATGCCGCTCACGTCTGCAAGCGAGACGCCGTATGCGCCGATCTCATCGTTCCAGAGCCTCTCGTTGATGGCTTTCGTCAACGAGCTCGCAGCCTCGCGGTACCGCTCGGCAGATGCTCCGTCGTTGAGAGCAGCAGCGACATCTGCAGCGCCGTTGAGAGCCTGGACGGCCTCGCACCCAATCGCAGACCCCCCATCCGCCGGGCCAGTGAAAGCAAACCCGCCCTCGAATGTCAGCAGCCCCGTCGTCGAGTTGATTTGCGGCAGAAGCCAGTCAAGTACCTTCTGCCACTTTGGCCACGTCGCCTTGGCCCACTCCAGGTCGTTGTTTAGCCGCACATGGTCACCGAACGCCATTAGACCCATGAGCTGGTAATCCTGCAATCCGAAACTGCCACTCGGCGCCAGCGCGTCTGCGGCGGACTTCAGGTCGTACCCGAGGTTGGGCGAGATATTCATCTGCCCGTTGGCGATTTGCGAGTCGATCAGCAGCTGCAATGTTCCTCGGGACTGATCTGTTCGTGACGTGCTGGTGGCGATAATGCGAGCGGTGTGGTAGAAGTCGCCGAGCCAAATGAGTCTGTCGCGCTTGGGCCCGTCGAGGCACGCGCTTTCGGGATTTGACTGTGTCCCGTACTCGACAAGGACGTCCGGGGTCGTGAGGTTGTTGGTGTAGAGCGTTGAACCGTTGGCCGTGTCATAGACGTGCACGTTTTTGAAGTAGGCGGCTTGGTCTTGGTATGCACCGAAGCCGATGGAGCCGGTGAAATCGGGAGAGCCTGTGTACGACGAGGTGCCGGCGGCGAGCGCCCATGGGTAGTCGGAACGCGAGATGTTGAACAGTTGGGTATCGTTGATAGAGACGGCAAGATGGCCTGTGGGAGCCATAATTGCCTTGATATGATACCATTCGTTCTCCCTCACTTTGAAAGGAACCTCAAAGACATCGAGTAGGAACGTTTCCAGTGTCGTTTGGTTCACAAAGTCTGGTCCGTAGGCCAGCGTGATCGTGTTGGCTGGCGTTAAAGTCGTGTTGACATTGGCAAAGCGGGTTGTCTCGGGCAGCTCGCCAGTCAGCAGCATGGTGTATCCGTTGCCAGCCACAGCTCCTCCCTGAGATTGGGCGTCAGTATAGTAGTCTTGCAGGCTGAATGGCGATTAGCCCGAGTCTTACCGTCACAAACCAGCTCCCACCTCTTTGGATCTTGGTGTCAAACTCCAGTGTGTAATTACTCCAAGACGTGCCTTTAAAGGTTACAGCCGGCCGCGTGCTCCGGGCCAACGCCCCGTTCTCCTCGCTCACTTCCCAGATGGCTTTTTGCGTGCCCTTGTCGAAGCATGCCGCTGTCGCCGCTCTAGCGCCCAGCTTCCAGATCTCGTTCAAAGTCTCATCATCACTGTCAAATCCTCCGGGGAGATTCTCAGGCTCGACCGCATCAATAGTCGCCGAAAAGCCCACGCTCGAGAATTCCACCGTACCATTGGTCAAAAGTCTGATGGATTGCCACTTCTGGCCTCCCTGGAGCAGCGTAGATGCAACCCGGCCAACGGCCGTGATGTTGAACGTCTCGACGCGGAAGCTGTTGCTTAGCTGGTTGGAGAAGGTGTACGGCCCGTCACCGAAGAGATGGTTTAGCCCGTCAAAGTGCTCCGTGTACTTGACCTCGATTTGCGCCGGTGCGCTAAGGGCAGAGACGTCGAAGATCGGATAACCCGCCCTCTCGGCTCCATAGTCCAAAGTAGCCACCGGAGTTTCCGGGCTAAGAGTGAAACGCGTAAAAGACTGAGTCTGCAACTGCGCTGTATTGCCAGTAGTGACCCCTTTTGCAGTGAATATGCTACATGTAAAGAAGCGTCAGAACACGCAACTGATTCGGTTTCGAGAGGACTAGGGAGGTATCGTACTTGGCAGCAGTGGAATTGCTCGTCAGCGCAGCCGCCACACCTCCGGTCGCAACCGCAAGCCACACTAACAGAACCTCCATTGCCGGGTGATATCGCACAAATAATGGGTCTGCAAAGAACCAAAAGAATGTGTGAAAGAAGCACCGAAAAACTGGAAACCAGTTCAACCTTTAAAAGTACTAGGAAGAAGATGCTGTTTGTCCTGGACCCAGTTTTGCCGGGTAGTGGGCGTGATTTTGTAGTTGACAATCTTCCCATGACCCACATCCAACAAGTTACGTCTCATCTCTTGCGCGTCTCTTGGGAGTAACAGTCGGGATATCCGTCGCCGAGCTTGAATCTCTTTTGTGTTTTTTAAAGTTGTTTAGCTCTGCCCGAAAATCTTGCAGGCACCGTAGAGCGGCAAAAGATTGGGACCCCTCGCGCGTGAATATCCCGATCCGAAGGGTCACATCGTCCCCTGCAGGGACTGGATACGGTCTCTGCGGGGGAAACGCGGGGGAAGATTTCTGGTTGCTACACAAATATGGCGGGCAAATCTTGCTGAAGTGCGTTAATTCACAGGGTATCCTTGTACTGCATTGTCATGTGTGGAACGTCGTGTCGAACCAGAAGTAATCATCCAAGCCATGGTACAATATTTTGCAATTCAAGGCTGAAGTAGGTTCAATCGCTATTTCTTGATGGCTGGTTCCGATAGAGACAGACAAGTCAACCTTTGATGTTTTTGAGGGTGTCGTAGTAGCTGCCTAGTGACAATGTCCATCCCCATCGCTTACTTGAGTTTCGACAAAGCGCTGTCCTTCTCCTTCTCTATCGCGATGCCGTTGGACTAGACGCCTCCGACGACGTTGACGGGTCCTCTCTCAACGACAAACTAAACCCCGTCGCCCTCCTTGATACGTTGGAGCAGGACCGAACCAGATAACATGGTCTTGAACCGGCACACGGGTTACGCTACCAGAGACTAGGGGTAGCAGTGACGCAGCGCAGCTGCGCAGATGGCTGCTCCAACTGATGTTCCAGATCAGACGAACAGTCCACGTAACTATTGTTTAGTGAAGCTCGCCTACGGCGCAATCAGGCCTCGGAGCCTCTCTCTCAACATTCTCTGAACCTGTACCTTTGAGCGACTATAGACCTGGCCAGCTGCCTCGCGCTCTCCCTGTCGCTGCACTCGGGAGGGTATGACCGGTCGAGAATGTCCTCCAGAAAACCAGCCACCTCCTTCTGTCCGTGATGCCGAGCCTCATCTGCAGCACATCTTCCCGCGGTGTTCCTCGCTTCCATGAACAGGATCCTCTCCGCATCCCAGGGGAGCAACCGCCCCTCATCCCCGGTCACTTCATGGCGGTCATACTCCCCCGGAGTGTCCACCCCGTCATCCGCGTCCCTGCCCTCAAAGGCACGTAGCACTGCCCTCACAAGCGGTAGCCCCCCGGTCCGCGCAGCGATATGCAGCCCGTTGTCACCCTCCCCATTCTGATGCGTGAACAAAATATGCCTCTCGCGACGACCTTGGTATTGAGCCGGCCCGTCTCCGCAGGTCGGATAGAGTCGGCACGCCCTGAGAGCTTCGATGCGTCCCGAACGAACAATGACGTGGACGAGCGAGTCGCTCGTCTCAGGGTCAATGGCCTGGAGCCAGATATCAATGCCATCGCATTTGTACCGCTTGTAGGTGAAATTGAGGTGCAGATCCTCCTCGTTCGACATGTCCAGGCTTGGGACTGACCGGAGAATGTCCTGGACAAGCGGCGCAGGGAGGGGGTCGGGCGGACTGGCGGAACGGTGACTCTGCTGACCCCTGATGGTGGGAATCAGACTGACAGGGACGGGGAGGTTCGGATAATCGATGAGAGGGTAGGACTCCGAGGCCGAGGAGGACAAGCTGCCCGAGCTGGATCTGCGACTGTGTTGGGAGGTGCGGGTTGGCGCCGGATCAGGTGAGTCGGATGGCTCTGAGAGGGTGACTGAGTTCTCCTCGTCGTCGGACGAATCACCGCTGAGTCGGAAAAATCTAGACATGTTGGACGGCGTACCGGAGAATGTGTGAATACGAGAGGCGGTGATGTTGGAGGAGGGTAAAATATCCTTTGTGTGAAATGCTACGTGAATCATGAACTAAGCGTACAGCAGTGCACCACCATC